ATCTACAAAAATAGCTTCATTACAAATGATTCATTTGCTAGTCACAATCGAAGATTGTTGAGTTGCTCTATCAGAACACAAACATAAACACAACTCGCTATAAGGGTGGAGTTTCATCCCTTACAGAGAAAAAGAACGGATAACTGTAATGATGATAAATGCTAACACTGTTCTACGTTTCAATGTTTCTCTCATATATAATCTTTGCTCTTATTGTTCGTTTGTTTTTTAGTGGAAACAATCTGTTACGTGCGGTAAAATAGGATAATCGATACGACGAATTGACGAGACGAAATAACCAAGCTTAGCGCCGGTGCAACGACGCTTGTGTATTTCGCGTTCCGCCCAATCACTAATTAATCATTCCGACATCGTACGAACAGCAAAGTTGACGATATTAAATGTCGATACCTATATACTTGTCACCTATTAATTAAAATAACAAGTGTTATAGTGTGCACGATCAACTTGAGCGATGTATACGTATACACGTAATGCGCATCGAAAATCAACTTGGAAACGTGAATAAAGAAAATATTCATTATGTTATGATCGTAAAAGCAAAAATGCAAAATATTTTGTATTCTTAACATCCAGGTACATTCTATAGTCGCGACACTCTCTTGCCTCTTAATGTCAGCGTGCAAATTTTTCATTTGTCAACATGTAAATTTGTCCGACATATACATGTTCGAATTTGGCGCTCCGAGCGCAATGGCGCGTACTGCGCATGAGTGAACGGAAAGTCTTTTTCAAAACACTTATTCTGCGATTTATAAGATTTGCGCGGTACTTCGCGTTGAAACGTATGCACGAAATGATGGTTCTCGTACTTACAATATACGGTACTTGAAATTTTAACGAAGAAATATCAAATAATGAATTGAAGTATTTCGCGCGTGGCTCTGGGTTCGAGGTTACGCGAACAGATCGATGGCCGCCGATTTCCTGCGCATGAGTGACAGTGCGTCAAGGGGAGGAGAGTGAATGTGTACCAGAGTGGACGTTCTTCTGCTTCTCACTGGTCCCTGCCTCAAGTGAATCGACCTTTCCTTGCTCGTGAATTCGTTAGTCCGATCGGCGGACTTTTAACATACTGAAAATGGCGCTTTTGTCCTTACGTTTGGCCTCGTCCTTAGTCAGGCACTTGCCTAACACCACGGTTCAGGTAACGAAAAGATCTCTCATGTTCTTTTTATTCAAACACTTGCGCCGTGAGACCACCACCGCCTGGTAGAACATGCCGACATTTTCCACTTTGCCAGTACCGCACCGTTCTCCGTTTTATCCTCTTATCATTTTCATCCGCTAACCCGAACTGTAGGTACGAGTACAGCGAATATTTTTATTTATCAATTTAATAAATTTGCGAGAAAAATGTATAGTACAGGAGCTATCAACATTTATATGGTGTATTACATAAAGTGTTAGCTAGCAAGTTATGTAATAAGAGTTTCGGCAAAACATTCGATAGTTATAACATACCAAACTTCTTTACATACTGTAGGTTAGCTGGCCTGCAAGTGTCGTGGCTTCTCGCAAATATCATGTCTCCTGCAGTCGTCGCTCTGCAGAAATTTCTGCCATTCTGGAAGAACGTATCCTTGGTTCAGCGCCAAAAGTGAGCTAATGCCTACCTTGTTTCACTTATGATGTAGACAGATCAGTGTGCTACTTGACATTTGATTAGCTAATATCAAATGTTATAATCTATAATTTTACACTTTTATTTTTTTTTATATGTTATTATATTGTTTAGCATTATATTTGTAATTTTATATTTCTATAATTCTGTATTTTTATATAAATTTCTGTGATATATGAGAAGAAAATTCTGGAAATTTTATAAAGAATCTTTTAATTTTTAGGCTAATCTTGAAGAAACTGGCAGAGTACTCAGCATTGGTGATGGTATTGCACGTGTATACGGGCTGAAGAATATTCAAGCGGATGAGATGGTGGAATTCAGCTCAGGCCTGAAGGGTATGGCCTTGAACTTGGAGCCTGACAACGTTGGTGTTGTCGTATTTGGTAATGACAGGCACATTAAGGAGGGCGATATTGTCAAGCGTACTGGTGCCATTGTTGATGTCCCTGTTGGCGAAGAATTATTGGGTCGTGTTGTTGATGCCTTGGGTAATCCTATTGATGGCAAGGGTCCTCTGAACAGCAAACTGAGATTCCGTATCGGAACCAAAGCTCCAGGCATTATCCCCAGGTAATTCTTAGTAATAATTTTTCATAATTCTTTTTTAGCCTTTGTAAATGACATTTATCGTTACGTAATGCGCTCTGCTGACAGAGTATCGGTTCGTGAACCTATGCAAACCGGGATTAAAGCTGTGGATTCTTTGGTACCTATCGGCCGTGGTCAACGTGAATTAATCATTGGAGACAGGCAGACTGGAAAGACTGCCCTTGCCATTGATACTATAATCAATCAGAAACGTTTCAATGATGCTGGAGAAGAGAAGAAGAAATTGTACTGCATTTACGTCGCTATTGGCCAGAAGAGATCCACTGTTGCGCAAATCGTGAAGCGTTTGACCGACAGTGGTGCTATTAATTACACTATTATCGTATCTGCCACTGCCTCCGACGCGGCTCCACTTCAATACTTGGCTCCGTACTCTGGATGTGCCATGGGAGAGTTCTTCAGGTGGATGTCGTCTTATGTCATCTTCATCCAGAGTTAATTGTGGATTTTGTTAAAATCTCATGTAAGAACTATCACTTTATAGGGACAACGGCAAGCACGCTTTAATCATTTACGACGATTTATCGAAACAAGCCGTCGCCTATCGGCAGATGTCTTTGTTACTCAGAAGACCGCCAGGTCGTGAGGCCTACCCTGGTGATGTATTTTATCTCCACTCACGTTTGCTTGAGAGAGCGGCCAAAATGAACGAAAATCTGGGAGGTGGATCCCTGACTGCTTTGCCTGTCATTGAAACGCAAGCCGGAGACGTGTCCGCCTATATCCCCACCAATGTCATTTCTATCACCGATGGTCAAATCTTCTTGGAAACCGAATTGTTCTACAAGGGTATCCGACCCGCCATTAACGTAGGCTTATCTGTATCCCGTGTCGGATCTGCTGCTCAAACCAAGGCCATGAAGCAGGTATGTGTGTATGAAAATTATTTAAGAGTTTATGATGGAACTTATGTATATTATTATTAATATTACAATATGTTCCAATTCTCTCTGACAATATAGGTTGCTGGTTCCATGAAATTGGAATTGGCTCAATATCGTGAGGTAGCGGCTTTCGCTCAATTCGGTTCAGACTTGGACGCTGCGACGCAGCAATTGCTAAATCGTGGTGTAAGATTAACAGAACTTCTCAAACAAGGACAATATGGTAAAATTGGCGTAATTTTAACATTAATAATTTTCTTAATTTTCTGGTATAATATCGAATGAGCAATCAAATTATCGATTTATGTATACATCTTTCCATATCTCTATGTTTAGTTCCCATGGCTATTGAGGAACAGGTAGCTGTTATATATTGTGGTGTACGTGGTTATCTTGATAAGATGGACCCCTCAAAGATCACAAGCTTTGAAAAAGAATTCCTTGCACACATCAGGTATCTGATATATGCACACACAGTTATACATATATTAAAAAATGATATATATACACTTTTATACATACTATTTCTTTTCCAGGTCTAGCCAAAAAGATCTCCTCGCCACGATCGCTAAAGAGAACGTAATCAGTGAAGCGTCAGACGCAAAACTGAAGAAAATAGTTACAGATTTCCTTTCGTCCTACTCAGCATAGAACGTGATCATCTAATGTCTTTGAATGTGAGTCAACATAGATTGATTGGACAGAACATACGATGTTCTTCAAGAATTGACTGCTGCTGATAAGTGTTAATGTACTGATATTGCATGTTATTATGTTGTCATGAATTACAATGTAATTATATATAATATCTGTGCATTACAAATGTTATCGCAGCAATTCCATCTACGATCTATAAACTTGATAGCTATATTACATGTTGATACAAAAAGATCGACCTTTAATAAAACTAAAAATACTAATATTTAGATTACGAGTAAATTTTCTTCCTGATGTAAACATTATAATAATAATAAGTGAGACAAGTCTTAAACAAGATAAGTGAAAATACAAGATTTTTTCCAAGTTGATGTTATTAATTCATTTTTAAATAGTCTAAATATATTAATACAATGTTTATAATATTCATGGGACAATAATTTTCAGTTTACTTAGAATAAATTTTTTTAAGGAATTCTACACACATAAGAAGATTTATAAAGGTAAGCACTGAAATCATAGCAAATTAGCATCATTCTTGGTTAAAGAAAATCTATATAATGTATATTTAAATTTACCAATATCTTATATATAAATTATATTATTTGTACATTCTAATTATGAATATTATATATTACACATCTTTTTATTTATAATCTTATTCACAAAAACCCTTTAGCTTATAGGAATTATTTACAAATCATAAATGTATGTTGCAAAATTCTGTTGATAAAATTTACAGAACAATTGCTATGCTTACTTAAAGTTTGTTATTCTACACAAAGCAATAATTATACAAATGGTTTAACTAAGAAACCTTATGGACATCTTCTGTTCTACATCAGTGCGTTCTAGAACTTTACAAAATTCCTCAAATGATATCATACCATCCCCATTTTCATCAGCCTCAAGTATGGTTCGTTCTGCTATGCTAGTTAATTGTTCTTCACTGTAATATGTACAATAAGATGTCATATATTTTTCTTATGTAACAAATGTTTGAGTACAATTGCAGAAATAGAACTATCATACCATTATAGCTGTAGCAAAAAGAACATAATTTTTACCTGATATTAGCACCAACCATCATGTGTAAAATAGCAAGCAATTCATCTTTTGATATTAGATCATCATTGTCCAAGTCATACATTTTAAATGCAACTGTAAAGGAATATTTAACAGTTAATATTCAATATTCATATTATACATATGTGTGTTATTTTATATGTAATATTTACACTTCAATTTCTGCTGCCTAGAGTTCAATCGATTGGGACTGTTCTTTTTTATGGGTCTGAAATGAGCCAAGACTTGCATAAACTGCAAGAAATTTACTCGATCGTTTCCACTTTCGTCAAAGAAAGCATTCACTATTCTTTCACCAAGTGGATTTATCGCCAATTCCGGGATTCTGAGAAAATCCTCTCGACTGAGTGTCCCACAGTCTCCTCGGTCCAGACTTGTGAAGCGACTATATAGCCGTTCTATCTGATTCGGCGTAACTGGAATAATTCGAGAAAATAGCATTAAATTTTTTCGTTGAAAATCACTCATATAAGCTGTCGTCTTCGTCGCGAGGTACAAAGATTATTTCAAACGAAACAGATGAACAATATGGATACTTACAACCGGTAGCGTCTTGAATCTGCGCTATCTCTTCTTCACGCAAAAGAAGACTTGATCTGTTACCCATCTCGGATCTAATTGAGTTTCAAGTTCGTATTAATGTAGAATATTAAGGTGTTCGCATAGTCGTTCTTGACAAACTACGTAGGTGTGGCAAAAACACACTTCGCTAAGTCATATGACCTGTCATCTGCACTTTGAACAGTGGATCAATTGAAAACACTTGGTAATTATTAATTCACCGAAAATTGCCGCGTTCGGAAAAGCACAATTATACGGCCGCAGAATTTGAATACACATAGAAGCAGTCCTTTCGTTCATAAAACTATTTTTAAATAATGATTTTTGTACGAGACTGGGGGCGCGGTCCAACAACCGCTACAAATGCTGCGCAGCACTTCTCCCTCTTGTTCTATTCCTCGGATTCGAATAAAGAAAGAGAAAAGAGACGTCTACATTGGAAGTAAGCAGTAAAACCCATTCTACAATTGCGTGAACGTGGTTGTAAGTAGTTGTATGTGATTACGACAACCAATCAGAGTAAAGCAATCAGTAAATAAAACATTCGGATTGGTTGACTCTTACGTTCACGACTACGCTTACGCAATTGTAGAATGGGCTTAAAGAAGTAAAAACGCTACAAAGCATTTGCAACGTCCGTTGGACCATATCCTGTGCAAAGTGTAATGGAGGATTCACACCGTGTCCGATGTCTGACGTACGACGTCCGACATTCAATAGGAGAACAGCTTTCCAATGGAGAATTAAATTCTCTATTAAAAAGCTGTTCTCCTATTGGATATCGGACATCGAACATCGGACACGGTGTGAATCCTGCATAATACACGTGATTCCTGGACTGCGTTCCAAAATTCTATTCAGTGGGTAGAATACATTTAATTGACTAATTATGATAAAGAAATCCTAATTATCTTTGTTCTTATTGGTCAATTAAATGCTACTCTACCCGTCGAGTAGAGTTTTGGAACGCAGCCTTGAAGTCAGTCACAATAACTTTTTAGTATAAATTCGTTAAAGGTGAAAAGTCTAACTTTAAAAATATATGAAAATGTTCATTTTTCTTGTTTACATTGAAGGAAAAGATGCGTGGTCACCTCCAAATACCGCAAAATTATTCATTTTTTATGATTTCATACTAAACAAAAAATTATATGATTGATAAATAAATCCAACGGCCACACCACTCTCGGGCTTCACTTTGGGTGTTTCTAGTTGCGTACCCTGTGTACGCAAAACCAGTTTATTGGTTGCATATTATCTTACAAGATATTTTAGATAATATGTGACCAATAAACTGGTTTTGTGTATATGTGTGCTATGGTGCGTTCAGAAAACATAGCTGATCAGTGAGCGGTCAGTGATTATTGGTCCTTATGGCTCCTGCACACAGGACGTGGTAATACTTGCCGCGCGGCGGAAGTCCGCGCGACAACCAATCAATATGTTGTTTTTCCGTAAGAGCTAGAAAGTTATTACGTTGACCAATTACTCAACCGTTGTGTAATGGCTCCTGCACACAGGACGCGGTAATGCTTGCTGCGCGGCGGAAATTCGCGCGACAGCCAATCAATATGCTGCTTCCATAATAACCTTCTAGCTCTTACTAAAAAACAACATATTCATTGACTGTCGCGCGGACTTCCGCCGCGCAGCAAGCATTACCGCGTCCTGTATGCAGGAGCCATATCCGTTGTATTTCCTGAACGCACCCAATGGCTGCATTCGAGGAGATGTTATGTAGCGCTATGAGCGTCCTCTGTCTTTGTTCAACTTTCAGGGACAAACAAGGACAAAGCACACTCATAACGCTAAATAGCGTCTCCTCGAATGTAGCCAAGATATGTTAAGCAATTGCAATTGAAAGCACCCATTGTACGGAAATATAACGGGCACCAGGCGTACAACCAGGCGCATTTTATTGTTACCACCGCGAAAATGCGCCTAACGAACGTAGTACAGGCGCACTTTGTTAGATGGCGTCTCGAAAATGCGCTTAGCTTTGGCCATTGAAATCAGACTGGTGGCCGCTCTCATGCTTCTCTCTGCTTCTAGTATACGTGTACGATTTATTAGAGAAGAGAAAGCCACGGAAGTTGTGTCGAGTCCTTTATCTTTTAACGCTAAATATTTGTAAGCGCGTCTAGCATTTAGATATGGCTGTAAGTATTATTGTTTAAATAAATGCGCTATATTTGTGTTATATAAATTCAAGATTATTTTTATATTTTTATTACATTATCATATCGAATGAAATATATTTTTTTGTTTGCTACGCCGGTTGATCTCTATCTTCTTAAATACAAATTTCGAGCACGATTTACCCGCTATACTTTATGTAAAATATTAATTCAATTTTCTGTCGTAGTTTAATTGCATAAAAACAAATATTCTTTATTGTTTTAATTCTTTGCCTTATATTGGTTGACATAGTAACTGAATGTTTGATCAATTTTGTCGTTATTATACATAACCTATAATATAGTAACCTCTTCAGAAATACAAACATATTCGTATATATTTAGATACATTTAATTTGGTAATTATAGACTATAGGGGAGTCAGCTCCAATGACCTTGACCTTGAGATATATTGTAGAGGTCACCCTCCTGAGTAACTCTCAGAAGGTTTTAGCCGTCGCTCGTTGTTCGTTAAAAAGTTATTAACAAAACAAGTTGTCTAAAATGATTGTAATTTTTGGACATTAACATATACAAAAACGATACTGTGTACCGTTAACGAGCAATATCGAATAATAACTGTAATATCGAACGACTAGCGGAGGGCTGCGCCCCCGCACTCCCCCTCAAAACTAATCTAACCCAACCTATCATCACATTAACACAAAAGTTGAACACATTAATAAACAATGACTGACGGTTAGGTTAGTTTTAAGGGAGAGGTGCGGGGGGCGCAGCCCTCCGCTAGTCGTTCGATATTGCAGTACTTACTAAAAAAATATTTAAATTAGGAATATTTTTAATACGACGACTGAGGGATATTGAAGACCAATGTTTACATACAAGTATTCCTATTTATATGAGTTACAACACTCACATCAGTATGAGAATTCGTCTAGAAAGAATCACGCTTACCGTTTACACACTAAATGTACACAGAATATTAATGATACTATATATGGATATTAATGAAACTTCTTTTGTTAATAACTTTTTCATAAACAATGAGTGACGGCTAAAACCTTTTGAATGTTACTCAGGGTAGTGACTTTGACAATATATGTGAGGGTCAAGATCATTGGAGCTGACTCCCCTATAATCTATAATTACCTTTAATTTTTTTAATTCAAACATTATCAACAAAAATATAATGAACAAAGATAGAATGAATAAATATTTAATACACAATCTCACAAGAGGAAAGAAAAGAATCTCACATGATTTACAGAAGTCATATTTATATCTCATCTTAGAATTAAATATTATTTCTTTCTAATTTTAACAAATTCACTTCTGAAGATGTTAATGTTGAAATTTTTACTATCTGTGTATTTAACTGATGTATTTTGTTTTAGGTTATTACCAATATACAAGAGGTCCGTGAGATCACAAAAATAGAGCGTATTGGTGCTCATTCTCACATTAGAGGCTTAGGACTCAATGACAGTTTGGAACCACGTCATGTAATTATCTGACATTCAGAGGCACAGTACTTCCATTAATTGTAAATAATAAAACAACTTATTTAAATGTTCTTTTCAGGTATCTCAAGGCATGGTCGGTCAGCTTATGGCACGTCGTGCAGCTGGTGTCACTTTAGAGATGATCAAGGATGGAAAAATAGCAGGTCGTGCAGTGCTGCTGGCTGGACAACCTGGCACAGGAAAGACAGCTATCGCCATGGGAATGGCACAGGCTTTGGGGCCAGACACTCCTTTCACATCGATGGCTGGTTCTGAGATCTATTCCCTGGAAATGAGCAAGACAGAGGCTCTGACTCAAGCGATCAGAAAATCCATTGGTGTGAGAATCAAAGAAGAAACGGAGATCATAGAAGGCGAAGTCGTGGAGATTCAAGTTGACAGACCAGCGACAGGTGTTGGTGTTAAAGTCGGCAAATTGACGCTAAAGACTACTGAAATGGAGACGATCTACGATTTAGGGAACAAAATGATCGACAGTCTGATGAAGGAGAAAGTTAGTACATTACTTGTATATTACTTGTATTTATACATTGTTTGCATATTATACATTACTTGTATTTTGTATCACAAATTTCTATCTGCAGGCCTATTCTGTAACTTGTTAACGCGTGCGTTATGAAATAACGCAGATATTTTACAAAATAGTTGCGCAACGAAGTTTAGCGATAACGAAATTGGCGTTGAAATTTATAGAATAGGCTTGCTGGACTTTCACGCTACAACTTTCGTGTTATTTTCAGGTACAAGCTGGCGACGTTATAACGATTGACAAAGCAACGGGAAAGATCAATAGACTAGGACGATCCTTCACAAGAGCGCGAGACTACGACGCTACCGGCTCGCAAACGCGCTTCGTGCAGTGCCCCGAGGGAGAGCTGCAAAAGCGTAAGGAAGTGGTGCATACCGTAACTCTGCACGAGGTCGACGTGATAAACAGCAGAACTCACGGATTCCTGGCGTTGTTTTCCGGAGACACCGGCGAGATCAAATCGGAGGTGCGAGATCAGATCAATGGTAAGGTGGCTGAATGGCGGGAGGAAGGTAAAGCGGAGATCGTGCCCGGTGTACTCTTCATTGACGAAGTTCATATGCTGGACATTGAGTGCTTCTCGTTCCTCAATCGAGCGTTAGAGAACGAAATGGCTCCCGTTGTGATCATGGCGACTAACAGAGGTATATAATGATTATACAACTTAATTAATATGAGTAATAATAATAATAATCATCATCTACCATCGGCCAATAATCCCGGAAGCCGACAACGCATACTCTTAAAGAACAAATTCACCTGTGAACTATCATTGACACTTGGATTCTGATCGTGCAGGTATCACGAGAATCAGAGGAACAAATTACAAAAGTCCTCACGGTATTCCGATCGATCTGTTAGATCGTATGATTATCGTTCCGACTAGTCCGTACCAAGAGAAGGAACTGAAAGAGATCCTAAAGATACGGTGCGAAGAGGAAGACTGCGAAATGGCGGATGACGCTCTGACCGTGCTGACGAGGATCGCTCTCGAAACGTCATTAAGATACGCGATACAATTGATCACGACCGCCTCGCTAGTCAGTCGCCGAAGGAAGGGCACAGAGGTGAGTTTAAGGTGGTACAATTTATTGACGGAAAAACAATCACAATGTTACAATGATCTCTTGATCGTTCTCAGGTCAGCATCGATGACGTGAAACGTGTCTACTCTTTGTTCATCGATGAAAACAGGTCCACGCAATTTCTCAAGGAATATCAGGACGATTTTATGTTTAATGAGTTCTGTGAGTTAACGATCTATCGCAATTATAATTTCTTGTAATGCAGCGCGCGCCTAATATTTGACTATATTTTACGCGTTTGATCTGTTTCAGATGAAGAGTCTATGGATACTTCGCAATAATATGTTGCGGGAATATATGAAGATCACATCCAGGCGTTGACATCCTCGTGACTCCCATGTTTATTAATGTACAATTATCTCGGATCGAATGACACGAGTCCAGTTACAATAATTAATTTTTCCACTAATCATGAAGATAATCAAAAAAAGAAAAATCCCTACGCTATTTATACAAATTAACAAATTTACTTGTCATTACAATCAGTATTATTTACGTTAATTGTATATTAACAACATTGGGTCAAGAATAAATATACTTTGTTATTTACTAGTTCGTAAAAAAATATAAACATTTGAGAAATCTTGGTCGACGCGGACGTTATGCGCGAGCGACCGCTAATTAACGTATATATTTTGATTCAGCGTCTCAGACGTGATAACGTGCTCTCATTGATAAAATTAATTGATTAACAGTTACGGAGAGGTATATTACTTTTTTGGTGTGAAGCTCCTTAGAGAACTACATTAGACTTAACGTGACGAGCTGCTCTCTCGCGCATGGCGTGCTCGCGTTTCGCTGTCGTTGTTTTGCGTACCAATCTGTCGGATGGAGTCGGATGAATTCCATGGAAATTTTCCCTCGTCCGAGATGAATCTGCAAGTCATGAAGTTGCGAAACTGGCGCGCGAGCTGACGCCCGTAAGAAAACCCATTGAAATCGCGTTTTAACGCGAGCGAAATGTTTACTTTGTGAAACGTGATGCGCGCATCCGGCGAATTAGCATTTGACGTCGGGTGTAGTTAGGCGCCTCTGTTCACGTTTTCTTCTCCTGGGTTTTCTTGACTGAAAAAAGGCAGAGAGATAGAGAAACAGAGCGAGAGATAGGGAGTAGTCGATAGTCGCGTATTGGTAGTCGACTGAAAAGTCGCCCCACATAAATTACCGCGAAAACTCGTTTTCGTGCAACTGCGCGCGCTATTTGCGCAACATCTGCGTACGCGAATCACACATTAAAATTCAGTTCGCGCGTGTCGCCTCCTCCTCCTCCTCCTCCTCGTATCGCGGTTTCGCTAATACGGGAGCGAGGGAGAAAGTCACGTACGCGGCAGAGAAGTTCATCGTGAAAACGAGATTTCTTAATCCTTGTACTCGGATCGTGATTATTATTATTGCTATTATTATTATTGTGTACTCACTGGTTATCAGTTTGATGCCTCCTTCCGGCTTGAACGACGACTGCGCCTTTTTGTCTTTCGATATGAAGCCCAAGCCGTAGCCCACTTTGTAAACGGGTAGCGGAATCACCGTGGACGAAACTGGCACCATAACTACAAATATATATGCATTTTCAATTATTGCGCGATCGCGTGAAAATTACGCCGAGGATCTTACGGGACCGTTCGCACCGATGGGAAATATTTGCTTATTCCGCGCAATGGAATATTCATTAAGCGCACGGGTGATTGCAGCATCGTTCTCTCTAAACTCCTCCAAGTGAAATCTCAATCGAAACGAGCGGAAATTCGCCCGCAGCGATTGCGAAACTGACGCGATTCGCAATCGCAAAAGTGGATGTTTCATTGAAATTCACAGCGGATTCTTTATCCACGCGAGTGAATATTCATAATTAACAAAATTGAAAATTAAAACCAGGCAAATAAGAGCCAATAATAATGCTGGATCTTAGTGTTAATACTGTTATCTAAATACAGAAACAATAAATATAAATATACGTTCCGCTTTGAGCTATCCTCAGTACGAAACTATAAACACATTGAACTTATCATTATAACATTGAACTTCGTATTTAAAGACTAAAGCAATGAGAATATTTAGAATTAGATGTCTTCGGGAATTTATATTTAATAATAATATCTCGATCGATTAGCAGGGTGAATTTGTTCCTGCGTAACGATGCAGTACAAGAGTTTCTCCGGCAAACATAACTGCGCATTGACGACATTTCTGACGTCATTATTACGTCATGTTTGCTGGGTAGTTCTGCAATTTCGAGCGAGAATACTCGCTCGACGTTTCGAAGTAAGGAATCCACTCTGTGTGAGTACGAATTTACTTGAGAATCAGAGTGGACCGTCACTCTAGTTTTGGAGTGGAATTTCACTCGAAAATATTTTGAGAGTTCGACTCCTCTGGGCTCCTCTGCGAGCTCGAGAAAACCGCTGTACTGAGAAAAACAATATTTAAAGGGTAAAAAAATATTTGTATAGATAACATGTTCACTCAAGTCTAAATTCTATTATTTAAATAGAATGAACAATAGTTTTCGCGAAAAGATGAGGTTTTAAGAAAAAATAAATGTATACTTCTTTGATAAATATTTTTTACATTACACTGAGAAAAACGGTGAAAGCGAAGTAGACATCTCTTTCTCCAATATGTCCTTCTATTCGCACTGCGATACATACATCGAGCGAAAAAATATAAAATATTAATATAAATATATAATATATATAAAAAATATGATATAATATAAAAATATATAAAAATATATAATATATTACAAATATACATATAATATATAAAAATATATAAAAATATATAAAAAATATGAAATATATAAAAAATATTTATTCGACAGATACTAATAACTTGTTTATACTACACTGCAAAAAATATCTGTGTGTGGGACATAAAATTTATTTATAGAAAAATAAATCTTATTTCAGAAATAGAGAAATACTTCAGAAATACAGAAATAAACTTTACGTCTCACGAATAGAAATTTCCAAGTATTCTTTTTCAGTATAGTATAGAAGCAAATAATGTTATTTGTTCTATCGAATAAACATTTTTTATTTCTTCGATATTTTGTCTCGTAATGTATGTATATCGCGACCTGAATCGGAGGAAGTCGATATGGAGAAAGAGATCTGTATTTCGCTTTCACGTCAGCGACAAACGTCGGAACGCGTCGATCGCGGAACTTGCATAATTTTCTCTTTCTCTCTCTCTCCTTCTCTCTTTCGCACACGTAATAGACGCTCCTCCATATCTCGCGCTGTCATCCATACGGTGGCATTCGATACGCGGTCAAGGAGGTCCATATAGAACGAGCGATCGGAATTCATTGTTATGGAGCTTGCGAAAATTCCCACGTTCGACTGACCTTTCGTATGTTCTTAGCCAAGTGCGTGCATATGTGTGTGAGTGTATGTATGTATGTATGTGTATGTGTGCGTGAGTGATGCCGATTTAATCGGTGAAAAGCACTTTGTGACAGCGCGAGAGAGTTCGGCCGAGATTCTCACGCGCGCGCCGATTTTTTGCAGGGTCGCGTTCGCCATTACTGTATCGAGTGCGAATTATATGATCGGGTCTCTTGGATATCTCATTCAAAAGATACAATCTCACTCTCAGCGGAAGCCTCTTGTACGTGGAGTCTCGAGAGGAATCTTCTAACACCAAGAAAACAACATTCTAAGTGCAAGATTACACCTCTTCATTAGAGGAGAAATATCCCTTCGGCGAAAGTTTGCGAAAATGGGATTATAGGAAGTGGCGTCTTTGCAAACGAAGAGCTCTCTTTTCTAAGTGTTATACGAGGGAAATTAATATGGTTGCTATATCATGTTCTATAGTTAAAGAGAAAATTTGTCTGATTTTAAGTGAAATAGATATGGCATTAAAAGTTGCTGTTATTACATGTCCATCTATATTTTTTCGAATGCTACGTTGATGCCATAATCGTTTGGCGAATATACATGGAAAAAAAGATTTGGTTAATTCAACCAAATCTTTTTGTTCCGTGTACTACACGACGTGCGCTAATTATCGAAAATTGGTGCGAAAAAATTTTGTCGCTGCTCTATTCAATTTTGACTCCGACAAAATCACTGAATCGGCCGTCAAAAGGGAGACAGAAAGTCCGATTAAATCCGATTGGATATTAGCAAAAACAACGAGTCGACGTTGCTTGTTTTATTCATGAAAATTATTCATATTTCCCGAGAGGAGCTAGAATAAAATCGATTGAAATAATGAAGACCATGAGAGTCAACTCGATGTTGTCGACGACGTGTCACAATATTCCTATTGGGTGACGAAATATGTTATTAATATTTACAATCTTATTAATTATATGTGAACTATTAAGAGAGCGCTTGTTCTCGAAAGTTTAAAGATATTTATTATGTAAAAATTAGTAAAAAAAAGAAATATCTGACGCATTTACAACGGTGAATTGGCTCTTGTTGTCTTTTCCTAATCAGTTTTGCATCTGAAGAGCTTTTCGACTTTCAATTTTATTTGACAAACGCGACAAGCGAATCTGCCACACCATCGCGGTGAGCGTTCGCCCGCCAGTCTTGACAGAAAATATTTGCTTATCGCGCGGGAATGGCATATTCATTCATCGTACAGTTGATCGAAGCTTTGCACGATCGTTCGATCGCTTGTTTATCACATTCGCGGACTCGACCGAGTGCGAATCGATTCGTCCTATATAACGCTGAAAAATATAGTCGTCCGCTCGAATCCATGTATCGCAGCCTCTCCCCTTCCTTCTCTCTCTCTCTCTCTCTCTCTCTCTCTCTCTCTCTCTCTCTCTCTCTCTTTCTTTCTCTCTCGCGCGCATGTGGATGGAGTGAAATCGCGATGGCGATCCTCAATGCGGTGGATGACACTCTGACGGATAAGTTGAATCACGTGCTCGCGCAAAAATAATATAAAAACAACGCGATCACAGGTGATCGCGCGGCGACGGCGTTTGTCGTTAATATGATGTGTTGACGTCAAATCCGAGAGCAATACTTTGACCGAATTCGATTCGCACTCGGTTACGCAATTTTCCCGCGCACGGCATTCAAAAGGATGCTCTTGCAATCGTGACGAAAATTGTCTGAATACGAGGAATTAGCTAGAACGAATAAGTGAATGTAGCGAGAACTGCAATATCGTATATATTTTGTACTTTTATAATCAATAGAGATGACAGAGACAGAATTTCCACCTGAACTACTTGTGAAATTTAGCAAGAAGGTCGCCCTGTGGCGCCTATCCACCCAGTCGCGCTTATAAAAATTGACTAGAATAGACAAAAAAGACCAGCGACGAAAGATAAACGAGTATATAATTCTCGCAACCACCTAAATTTGCTTGCCAATATTGGCTGCGTTCCGACATTCACTGCCAGTACTGAAAATCTATAGTAACGTGAACTACAGATTGTTAATATTGGCGATGAATATCTCGGAACACAGCCATTGCTAGAAAATGCTGCTACTGTAAATTTTACGTGTCACAGGCGATTTTCTAACGGATACGAAAAACAGCGATAAATTTTAACTGTGACATTTACAGAATTCTACCTGGTTCAGCAAAACGTTTGTTTGAGCGAGGATAACGCTTTGTCGTGGCGCGCGAGCTGAGTAATCTCTGCAATTGATGGTTTAGTCATCACACAGTGTTACAATCATCACAGCTTTTAAGCATCGACGAATCTGCCGAATTGCATTATAGGAGAGTGGAGAGCGTCGGAAATATGCGCTGAAGGCGTTCGCGATTGCTCGCGCGTCCGAGGAAAAGTAAGTAGAAAGCCGCGAAGGAGTCAGAAGCGGAACGATGAAAAGCCACGCTGAGGAGTCGCGCCGAATGTCGCGTGACGATCGCGTGTTCTTTGCGTAATCGAACTGTCAGCGTAAATATTATCTGGAGAGAGCGAAGAAGTGAGAAGAAAGGAGAGTGACAGCGACCACCGAACCGGTACTATCATCTATCGAATGTAATTACCGCATGCGTCGTCAGAGAATACACGTACGAGCGGCTTTCAAGCGAGCGACGTGTAACGACCATATGTTTGTCGCATCATGTATCTCCGCTTGGCATTTCGTGAACGATATAAGCGCAAGCGTGAAGAGAGAGAGAGAGAGAGATTCTGTTTATACGTAAATATAATACACGTTACACTCGTTAATCGCGTCCACGTAAATTAATTATTATTATTATTTAGTAAACGGGAAAAATTTTCTACTAGTACAAAATATATAAATTAGCAGCTGCTTTCCGAGAAACGCCATATATAAAAAAGTGTAGAATTAAAAGGAAAACAAGTTTACAAGATATACGTACTCTCTCTCTCTCTCTCTCTCTCTCTCTCTCTCTCTCTCTCTCTCT